AGCCTAATAAGGCAGAAAAGGCCTTCCTAGTGTCCCATGTCTTTTCTGGTAATATCCTTCTGCCTATATCCCAGCCGTCTCGCGGTGGAGGCTCGAGAGAGATCTCTAATGGCAATATGGAGGGACGAGTGGGTCCTCTGACAGATCGGTGTGCGCATCTATGCCGCAATAAACTCTTCCTATCAATTTGGCCCTCCCATGACTTCTCTCTTCTCCTAAGGAGCATAGCCTGAAAATCGCAGTTGCTAGGGTTAACCTTATTAACCTTGACACTACTTGATATTCTCACCCATTACATAAGTAGCAGTTCGCGGCGAGAATACCGCAGTTACTAGCAGCTTACAGTTTTTTAAACGGGCTACACATTGATGTAGTAGGTTTAACATCAGCCATCCATCCCAACAACTAGAGGCCAGCCCTACGCCTCAGATTTACAATAGCTGGCTGCAAACTACAGTCTGGATAGCCTCTCCAGCGTGGTGTTTTATGGAGAAAATACAACAGTGACCGTCTGCGAGACTTTCTACAATCAATTGGGTTTCCCACACAATTAATCACAGATAGAGAAGCTCTGCAGGCATGGTCCATCCGGGCGTGCAGCCAACTGAATCACGGCATAGAATCTCCCGTCGACCTAGGAACCAGTACGTTTGCTGAGCAATGTAAAGAAAACCTGCAAGCAGCTGCCAAGGCTCGAAAGCTGCTTATTCTTCTTCTCCATCGACTGTTTCAGTGCCACCCAAAGGAAACCTCCGGAAACCCTAGTATAAGTTTGTTTGCCCTCACATCGAGTACCCCTCGTCAGTTGTTTGGTCTACGTGCCTCGTAGGTGACGTGGGGATTCTTGAAACCGTTTCAAACCTGGTAACTAAAATGACTTGCTTCATCTGGAATCTGAGTTTAAAGGAAAGACTCCGAACGAATGGCTGCGAAATCTTCCTATACTATGCGCCGAGGCTTCCGTCATGTGTTGCCGTACATCGGTATATCAGCACTCTGTACTCCCACTCCTAGCACGCTACCTCATGTATGAAGAAACGGAAATTGAGAAGTTGAAAGCCGATCTGTCTCCACAACAGGTGTGGATATCATTTAAACCTTTAGACTTCGACTATTCTATGACTTTTTACCTTACCTTATCCCTTACTTTCCATGAATTGTGCCACTTGCTCTGAAATAAAGCACTCTGTCTTTCTCTCTTTCAAGGTCTAAGTGCCTACGCCTGCAGAGCTTTTAAAAACATCCAATTAAGTCCCCGGGTGCATTACAGAGTTGTTCGTATGCGTAATCCTCGAGAGCACCCTGCAAATGTAGTACATTTACTATCGTAGTGACTAGCTTCACACGAAGTGCGCTTGCGGAATGCTTGCTGCCTCCAGCCTCTGGAACAGCCAATCACAGGCCGACTCACACAGGACCTCATGTGAAACTACCCTCCTTTATATTATTTTATTAGCCTGATGATGAATTAATCGAAAACGTTCGTTCGCCTAACTCGACTCCAAAATGTATACTACTTAAGTAAACATGTTACAATGCCGGTTTGCTCGCTAGCCGGAACTAGCTTGAGATAAAGATGCACGACAATCGATAGCACAACCATACTTCAGTATTTTGTTCAAATCTAAAACCTATTGCTGAATTTTGGTTCAAGTTTCACGAGATAGCACCTTATTTGCACATGGTCATTAAAGTGACTGACTTGCAATCCCGCACGACCCTTTATCGTCAAAAATGGTTATTTCAAAAAGACGCGTTGTTTGACCTAAGCCAGTATAATTGCGTAGCCTCTCAAGTGCTTTTCCTAGTCAATCCCTGAAAAATGCCTGGGATGATGCGCTCGAGAGCGGCTGTGAGGAGCAGGGCAAAGAGAACTGTCGTCTCAGCAAGCAAATCATCTCGAAACGCATGTTGTACGTGCAGTTGTATTCGAAGAGAAGGAAAGGCTGTCCTGATATCCACCTACGCTGAACCTGGTGTTCGCTAAGATCAGTTAGACCCCGGCCACCATGGCCCAAACTGGGTTAGCTTCGAAAGCAATAGTTGCATATGCTGGGCAAGACAGAATCGATCATCTTTGCCGACGATGTGCACCGTGTGCCCTAGAGCAAAATGGGCGAAAGAACGGTGACTTGCATTGAATTAATTTATAGAGACAGTAGGCTTGAGCGTTACATCCACTGCAACCCCTCCTGCTGCCACATCACCCCGAGTCCGGTGTCAAGACAGAGTAATGAAGACCGAAGGCGGGATCGGTCGCAGGAGACTGCTCCAGCGTTAGGTTCGCCTAGGCATCCTACTACACTCCCGTGTTTGGAATTTATTATGGACGCGCAGTCCGAATAACACGTGCTGTGTCCTGAGCTGGCCTCCGTTTCCGTCTTAAGTTTGGACCCCGTGGCCCGGTGTAGGAACGCAAGACGTACCGTAATGTCAGCGCGGGCACAAGAGACCCTGCCAATCATCGTAGTAAGGTCTTAGGGAGGGGATTTTGCTCGACTACCAACAAGCCGTACTAATACCTACCACACACACGATATGGTCGTAATCA